TATCTAGTAGCCAGAACGCACTTCTCGGCAGGCATACTATGCAAGGCCCGATTTGCCTAATAAGCCAAGTTTTCCTGAATTAATATATTTTCTCTAATTTTTTCTTATGAAATGATAAAGCTACCCATTTCATTATGTAAGAGGTAATTTTTTTTTATTGGAGTTAAAATTAACGTAGACATATGACCGAACCTAACCAACCCTACCTAACATAACCTAACCTATCTTTATAGGTTAGGTTAGGTTAGGTAGCCGAAAAAGTTAGGTTAGGTTAGGTTAGGTAGGTTAGGTAGTCGAAAAACAATTAATTCATGAAAACTTGGCTTATTAGGCAAATCGGGCCTTGCATAGTAGGCTGAGAAGTGCGTTCTGGCTACTAGGTACGACATATATATATATATATATATATATATATATATATATATATATATATATATATATATATATATATATAAACACTATGTGGTGTGTGAGTCAAGTGGTTGGGGGGAGGGCAGGAGGACATCGAAGGCTGAACACTTGGGGTAAGAATGATTTTTTGGTAAAAAAAATATTAACACTTCATTCTCTCTCACCTATCGCCCCAAAAGCTACCGCCTGCCTGTCCCCACTCCTCCCCCCTTAACCTACTTCACATGCCCTTCCTTAACCACCCATCTTTAAATATCGATCTCCTAGGCATGTCCATCCATGGGAGGGGCTCACCTCTACGCCCTCGTCATATCCTACATACTTTTATTTAACTATATATCTACACGCGATTAACTCTACCTACATATTCACACATTTTCATCTTACTACTACTACTACTATTGATCACCTGTTCAGTTCACCTATTCCTATTCATACACTTTACATCCCCACGACTTACAACCCCCCACGAGACAACCACCCCGACCCTCCAGACACCCTCCCCACCCCACAATCAACGTGCTCCCACGAGATCCCTCCCAAAACCCAACGAGACTACGCACCTGCGCAACACCTGGGCAAGGGCCTAATTGGCTCACCTGCTCAGGTGTTGAGAACGATTGTAGTCTCACTTTACGCTTCTAAATAGGTCAATACACGGATAATAATAGCATAAGATAGTAGATATTAACAATGAATTAGTGAGACAAATGTGTATCAATGATCCTATTCAAATCACCCTCTAACTGATCAATCAAAAATGTATCTAAATTATATAAACCACTGCCAATGTTCAAATAACATGATTTTGTAATCTGTATTAAAGCAGATTCAATTATTTTCCTATTGAAAGTGCTTTAACAATACGTTATTAAAGAAGCCATCTCATAATCAATTTGGTGAGAATTTTCTGAGAAATGAACAAACAAAGCATTAGACAGTTAGCCATGTCTTACAAAGTATTTATGATGAGAAATTCTACATTTCAGATCTTTAGATGTTTGCCCAACATAGAACCCTATTACATTCTTTACAAGGTATTTTATATATGACATAATTATCACTACGAGGGCTGTTTCTAATACTAATGGTCCCCAGGCATATATGCAACTGAAAACTCCACACCCCAGAAGTGACTCGAACCCATACTCCCAGGAGCACTATGCAACTGGTGTACAGGAGACCTTAACCACTTAACCACCACGACCGTGCAAGTTTCTCCAAACCGTGGACTTTTCCGTTGCATATATGCCTGGGGACCATTCAGGCTTGTTCGTATTTGTGTTGCTCACGTGGCCCCCAAAAATGAGGTGATTTGATAAAATAACTATGCCCAAGATTACCATCAGAGTGCCGTCGGGATGATGGGCAAATAGCCTCGGCTACCATCATCTTTTGTACGGTCGTGATGGTCGAGTGGTTAAGGTCTCCTGTACACAAGTTGCATAGTGCTTCTGGCAGGTCGGGGGGACAGTTCTGATCTAGGAGACAGCAGTAGTCTAGGAGACAGTAATGGTCTAGGAGACAGTACTCACCTAAGAGACAGTAGTTATCCAGGTCACCGCATTGTTTCATTATTCGGCTAAGAGAGACAGAAGCGGTCAAGGGGACGGGAGTTAGGGGAGAGAGACAGTAGTGGTCTAGGAGGGAGTTGCAGTCAAGGATACAACATTTGTCTTGGTGGCAATATTGGTGTAGGAAAGACCAGTGGTCTACATTACAGTGGTTGTGTTGGTTACAGTAGTAGTCAAGGAGACAGTGGTGGCCATGTGGTAGGTTACAGTAATTGTCTAGGTAACAGTAGTAGTCAAGGAGACAGTGGTGGCCAAGTGGTAGGTTACAGTAATTGTCTAGGTAACAGTAGTAGTCAAGGAGACAGTGGTGGCCATGTGGTAGGCTACAGTAATTGTCTAGGTAACAGTAGTAGTCAAGGAGACAGTGGTGTCCAAGTGGTAGGTTACAGTAATTGTCTAGGTAACAGTAGTAGTCTAGGAGACAGTGGTGGCCAAGTGGTAGGTTACAGTAATTGTCTAGGTAACAGTAGTAGTCAAGGAGACAGTGGTGGCCAAGTGGTAGGTTACAGTAATTGTCAAGGTAACAGTAGTAGTCAAGGAGACAGTGGTGTCCAAGTGGTAGGTTACAGTAATTGTCTAGGTAACAGTAGTAGTCTAGGAGACAGTGGTGGCCAAGTGGTAGGTTACAGTAATTGTCAAGGTAACAGTAGTAGTCAAGGAGACAGTGGTGGCCAAGTTTTTATTTTTTTATTTTTACATGCGAACCTGCGAATAAATACAATAAAATAAATACAATAAAATAATAAACCAAGAACAAACAATCAGACATAACAAAAAATTACAAAAGCACAAAACAAATTAATATAAATACATTAAATACCGGCCTGAAGGGCCGACAACAAAAACACAACAATGAGCATAAACACAATGAAACACAGGAAAAAGAAACAACAAAACAGGACAGGAGGGTAACGGAAATGCAATAAATACAACAAAACAACGGTCATGAGAACAAACACAACACCGGCCTGAAGGGCGCACGATAGGTACAACACATTGCAAACAAACCACAGGTCCAAGCACACACCAAACACACAGCAAGCACACAGACTACTCAAATTTCTCATACTTATCCGGCCACTCCGCCGCCGGGAATCGAACACAATACGCCTCCCAAAGTAACATGACGTCATCCAGAACAGGTTCATTATGAACCGTACGAGGATCAGGCATCAACTCCGGCACACCCACAACAAAACACCGAGCCCGCTGAACCCAGATGGAAGAAGGGCACCACGGAACAGGATGCACGCATTCAACAATGTCAAACCTCAAAGGATTCTTAGCATCATACGCCACACCGGAGACCAAGACGAGAGGGAGGGGCTCCTTCCCACGAGGCCGGGCAATGGGCAGCGCACTGGGAGCCTCCTCGGCTGCCTCACAGGGCCCCGCGTCAACCACCGGACGTTGTTCCTGCTGGGACCCCCCACGCTTGGCATCCTTCTTCAGCACCAGCTTGATGCCTCGGCTCGCACCAGAACCCACACCACCCACGTCTGTAGGAGCAACCACCTCCCACTGCGGAGAACCTTCTGCAGGAGAAAAAACCGGAGGTAAATCATACGCACAACCATTGTCAACAGCTGACACATGGTCGTCAGCCACCACCAGCGACGTAGAGCGCGAAGCACCCGGAACCGCCACATCATCGCCCGAAGCTCCACCCGCGTCGAAGTCCTCCACATCGGCCCAAGCATTAGAAGAACGCCTGGAACGCTTGGGCACAGGCCACACATCCTCACAGCCGGAGGCGGACCCAGAACCACGGGCCTCACAAACCGTGCGAACCGACGCCCGTCGCAGTACGGCAGCAGCCTCAACCACAGGGGGAACCGGGCCGCACACAACAGTACGCTCCACAGCCCCCCCAGCACCCAGCACAGCCGTAACACCTGGCGAGGGCGCAGGGCCAGGCACATCAGCAGGAGACGAGGAAGATGAAGACGACTAGCAGAGACCATCTGGAAGACCCTCGGAAGCAACTGGCACAGCGAATTGACCAGCGACAGGAGCCACCGGAACACAGTTAGCAGGGACAACAACCACCGGGGGGCATGTCGGGTGACGCAGGGGGGGGGGGGGCGCATCAGCAGCAAACGGGACCTGCCCCTCTTCATCTCCGGAATCCACGCCCTGAGGGAGCGGCGGGAAATCCTCTTCCCGGAACAAGTTAACAGGTGCAGCAGGGGCCTCAGAGCACCCGGCAGCCTGATGCCCCAACTGGCCACATCGGAAACAGGTACGGGGCTGCCGGGCATAATACACCCGAACGTAGTAACCCAGCAGCCGGACAGAAGATGGGATATCCAACCGCAGGCGCATACCTAAGGTACGGATGTTTGTCCGCTTCCCAGCATACTTCCCCGAGGAAAGCGTGTTCACCCACACACTGATGACTGCACCATACCTTCCGAAGAAGCGCCGGAGAAGGTCTTCAGGGAACTCCAGGGGCGCACCGTGTACACTGACATAAGCCAGGGCACCACTGCGGTCCGAGACCGCAACAGAGCCGGTGCCATCCGGCAACGGCAACGAACGCCCTTCGTACCGACGGAGGAAGTCCCGATACTCCGCCTCCCTCACGAACTTGATAATCACCCGGTGGGCCGTAACAAGCTCAACTCCGTAGACAGCCTCCACCGGGACACGAAGCATGTCGCACATCACCAACTCAATGGCTGGATAACCAGCCTTACACGAGAACTCCAGCCCCACAGAATTCACACGCAGAACAGGAGGAATTGGAAGGCCCCCCATGTCAGAACTGCCACGACAGCACGCAGCCAGGCAGGCAACAACACTCAGGTGGCCAAGTGGTAGGTTACAGTAATTGTCTAGGTAACAGTAGCAGTCAAGGAGACAGTGGTAGTCTAGGATTCAGGAGTGATTTATGAAAGAGTGTTCGTCTAGAAGACCAGTAGTGGCCTAGGAGCGTGTAATAAGATTAAATAAAAACAAATGTAAAATCAGCTAAAAACAATAACACAATTCCATTTTTGTCTTTTATTTCAGTTATAAGAAAATGGCTGAGTGAGCTGCAGTCTAACCTCACATCTGGTAAGTAATTGTGCACTGCAGTTTTGCTTCATAAAGGATGAAATTTGTTCTTTATAATATTATCCGTAAATTAATAATTGTCTTTGATTCAGCGTTATCAGATTATTTTTAGAACAGTATTATATGGCAATATACAGTGGTAAGTGTCACATACACGGCATAATGGGTATGCGGATGGGTAAGAGAGAGGAGCCAAGATGGCATCTACATATAAGGGAAGGCATGTATAGGAATCATAAAGAGAGAAGGACTTGGGAGTGGATATAATTTTGACACAACATCGGAGGCACACATAAACAGGATAACATCAGCAGCATATCAAATAGTGCAAATATTTAAACATTGTTTAAAAACCTAAATCAGGACTAATTCAAGCAAATCTAAACTACATTTGTTTAAATTTGCTTTAAGCAAGGTGCAGATTTCATCACTGGCATGGAATCTGCATCTAGCAAATGATAAAGCCAAAATTTGAATGGTATAAAGGATTGCAAAAAAGATTGGCACCAGAGCTAAGAATGTTAAGCTACGAAGTTACGCTAATGGAACTAAATCATACAACCTAATAGGATTGAAAAAAACAGAAGGGATATGATCATAACATAAAAAATTCTTAGGGGAATTAATAAGTTGCACAAGGATGGTCTCTTAAGATCGAGAGAAAGCAGGATAAGAGGACACAGGTGGAAGCTTAATTAATCTTATGATGGGACTAAAGCTGCTGCGTGATAACGAAAACAACATTTTGTCAGTTGCACTGTTAGAACACATACGAAATGGAACTAGCGAGTCTAAATGGATTCAAAGAACTGCCACTCATATTAAAATGATGGGACTGCACGATGTATATACAGATGAAAGAGTACAGCACTTCCTTCCACCCTGGCAGATAGTACCTTTTGACATCCTGACCCCTGCATACCCCACCAAGAAACTAATCACAAGCAACCCTCATGCTCAGCTTGCTGCTAAATTAAGCACCATAGAACACATTCACAATATACAAGCTGAAAACAGCATTGCACAGACCATATACACTGACGGATCACTCAATACAGCTACAGGGAGGGCAGGAAGTGCTGTTATTGCTCATCAGCCCGATGGCAGCACAATTCAAAGAAATATCCGAATTAGTAACTGGGCGTCCACAATGCAAGCCGAGTTGGTAGCGATACTGGTAGCACTCGAAATTATTGACAACACTGAAGTAGACAGCTTAATTATTTCTGACTCCCTATCCTCACTACGAGCAATAAACAGTTTGCAATCAAGTAATAACGTGCTTGTCTTGGAAGCTAGACGTAGATATGTAAGAATACTTAGCAAGAGGGTAAATATAAAAATGTTGTGGATTCCTTCTCACATTGGCATGCAGGAACATGACAAAGTTGACGCCCTTGCTACGGCTGCAGTAAATAAAGACAGTATTGAATGGAATCTTGAGTTATCAAATAGGTCCCTTAAAAGTGTCATTAGACGAGAACTCCTAGATGGATTTGAAGAAAGTAGAACAGTGCAAACTGGAACTAGTAGGTCCATTGTTCATCACAATGAAATGTGTGAAGTAAAACATGTGTATGGGGCAAGTAACAAAGTCAGTAGACTAACAGATGTTGTCACAGCTCGTATAAGACTTGGCTACAAGTATCTCTGGCAGTTCGGCTTGTATAGGGATCTAGATGAAGTAAAGTGTAAAGTGTGTGGACATAGGCAGGGACACACACTCGAACACTATATCTTGGATTGTTGTAAAATTGAGCTTTTTAGAGATAAATCTAAGCTCACTCTGTATGATATGGCAACCTATCTTATTATCATGGATAAATTACCTGAAATCCTTGCACTGTACCCACATTTTGCTTCCAGTAGATGAACGACATATGAGATTCAGAAACAAGTAGTGTATTGTGAGGACTAATAATAAACAGAAGCTCCCCTATGACTCTGTAATATCCCCATTGGCCAAACTATTATGTATTAACGACAAGACCTACCATTAATGTATGATGACTTACTGTAAATATGTAGCTCTTGTAATAGCACTTTCTCTGTAACTAGCTGACATTGTATCTATAAGGTGTGAAGGATTGAAGAAATTGTTTATGTAATAATCTAAGATGAGGTCTGATAAAGACCTTTTGTGCCCTCTGTAATGCTTTTGCGCTACCGCTCACAGGATGAGTATGGGGTGCACAATAAACTAGCAGCCTCCGGCGGCAACAATCAATCAGGTGGAAGCTGGATATGTAAATGAGTCACAAGAAAGTAAGGAAGTACTCGTATCCTGTATGGGTAGTTTACAACTCGAATGCTTTGAAAGAAGATGTTTTGAGAGCCACCTCCATCCACAATTTTGAGGCTAAGTTGAAACACAACAAGTACATGGTTAGGAGGCGGGGCATAAAGAGCTAGGGCCAGATTCACGAAAGCACTTACGCAAGCACTTGCGAACCTGTACATCTTTTCTCAATCTTTGGAGGCTTTGTTTCCAATTAATAAACAGCTAATGAGCTCCGAAGCACCAGGAGGCTGTTTATAACAATAACAACAGTTGAATGGGAAGTTTTCATGCTTGTAAACTGTTTAATCAATGTAACCAAACCCGTCAGAGATTGAGGAAAGATGTACACGTTCCTAAGTGCATGCGTAAGTGCTTGCGTGAATCTGGCCCCTAGACCTCACTCTCTAATAGACACTGACAGGTAAGTGCCATGCGCCCCTATAATTCCCCTGCCCATTAGCCGTCCATCCCTCCCACTATAACCAGCCCACCACCCCAAGCATCATCCCTATACTACTAACACCAATCTGCTACCCCTACCACCATGTAGCCAACACCACACAAGAGGCTAGTGAAAAAGCTGGAGACGCAGGCTGGAGTGAAAGGGAAGGTACTCAGTGGATAGGAGTATCTAAGCAGCAGGAGACAACGAGTCAGTGTGAGGGGTGAGGTCTCAGATTGGCGAGACGTTATAAGTGGAGTCCTGCAGGAGTCAGTCCTTGGCCCTATACTGTTTCTTATATATGTAAATGATCTCCCAGAGGGAATAGACTCGTTTCTCTCAATGTTTGCCGATGATGCAAAAATTATGAGGAGGATTGAAACAGAGGATGATATTAGGAGGCTACAAGATGACCTAGACAGACTGAGTGAATGGTCCAACAAATGGCCGTTGAAGTTCAACCCGAGTAAATGCAAAGTCACTGTACAAATAGTAGGTCATTAGAACGGGAGACCTACGAGAAATATGGAAGACGGCGAATGTGGTCCCAAAATACAAAAAGGGTGACAGGCAAGAGGCACTGAACTACAGGCCAGTGTCCTTGACTTGCATACCATGCAAGGTGATGGAGAAGATCGTGAGAAAAAAACTGGTAACACTTCTGGAGAGAAGGGACGTCGTGACAAATCGCCAACATGGGTTCAGGGAGGGTAAATCTTGCCTGACTGGCTTAACAGAATTCTACGACCAAGTGATAAACATTAAGCAAGAAAGAGATGGCTGGGCGGACTGCATTTTCTTGGATTGTCGGAAAACCTTTGACACAGTACCACATAAGAGGCTGGTACATAAGCTGGAGAGACAGGCAGGTGTAGCTGGTAAGGTGCTCCAGTGGATAAGGGAGTACCTGAGCAATAGCAAGCAGAGAGTTACGGTGAGGGATGAGACCTCAGACTGGCGTGAAGTCACCAGTGGAGTCCCACAGGGCTCTGTACTCGGTCCTATCTTGTTTCTGATATATGTAAATGATCTCCCAGAGGGTATAGATTCATTTCTCTCAATGTTTGCTGACGACGCCAAAATTATGAGAAGGATTAGGACAGAGGAGGACTGCTTGAGGCTTCAAGAAGACCTGGACAAGCTGAAGAAATGGTCAAACAAATGGTTGTTAGAGCCCAAGCAAATATAATGTAATGAAGATAGGTGTAGGGAGCAGAAGGGAGTACAAGGTACCATGTGGGAGATGAAATACTTCAAGAGTCAGAGAAAGAAAAAGACTTGGGGGGTTGATATCACGCCAGACCTGTCTCCTGCAGCACATATCAAGAGGATAACATCAGCGGCATATGCCAAGCTGGCCAACATAAGAATAGCATTCAGAAACTTATGTAAGAAATCATTCAGAACTTTGTATACCACATATGTTAGGCCAATCCTGGAGTATGCAGCCCCAGCATGGAGTTCATATCTAGTCAAGGATAAGACCAAACTGGAAAAGGTTCAAAGGTTTGCCACCAGACTAGTACCCGAGCTGAGAGGTATGAGCTACGAGGAGAGACTACGGGAATTAAACCTCACTTCGCTGGAAGGCAGAATAGTTAGGGGGGGACATGATCACCACATTCAAGATTCTCAAGGGAATTGATAGGGTAGCTTAAAACAGTCTATTTAACACAAGAGGCACACGCACTAGGGGACACAGGAGGAAACTGAGTGCCCAAATGAGCCACAGAGATATTAGAAAGAACTTTTTTAGTGTCAGTGTGGTTGACAAATGGAATGCATTAGGAAGTGATGTGGTGGAGGCTGACTCCATACACAGTTTCAAGTGTAGATATGATAGAGCCCAATAGGCCCAGGAACCTGTAAACCTGTTAATTGACCGTTGAGAAGCGGGACCAAAGAGCCAGAGCTTAACCTCCGCAAGCACAATTTGGTAAATTAGGTGAGTAGGTGAGTACACACACACACACACACAGGGGAGCCGGCCGGCCGAGCGGACAGCTCGCTGGGCACGTGATCCTGTAGTCCCGGGTTCGATCCCGGGCTCCGGCGAGAATTGATGGGAAGAGTTTCTTTCACCCTATGCTCCATTTTTTGGGCGTGTTTGGGGGTGTGGGAGAAAAAAATAGTAGTAGTAGAAACATTTGATTGAGAGTTGAGAGGTGGGCCGAAAGAGTAGAGCTCAACCCCCACAATCACAACTAGGTGAATACACACACACACACACACACACACACACACACACACACACACAGGGGCCTCGTAGCCTGGACC